TCGATGCATGTGAGTGTGTCTATCTTTGTATGTGTATGTGCCAGTTTGTGTTCGCTTATGCACGAAACCCACAATTATGGCTCAAAGTAATTAGGGCAACAGATCTAGAGTATATGTACCGCTCTTAATGATTTGCCGGTGAGTGTTTTTGACTCGTTAGCTTGAATTTGGTTGCGAGTATCATACCTTACTCTGATGATGTTCCTCGTATGACGGACGAAAGCTTAGCACCTTTTTACCGGAATCGAAGGAAATTGCCTCGGAAACAGCGTCGACATGAATGCTCCAGTAAAGCCATTCGACAGCTGGTCAAGCGAAATTTGCCGTTGCCTTCTGGCGGAATTAAACTTCGAATCTCTTCACCAAACACTTTCACTCAAATTGGAAGTAAGCTCAACAATTATGAAACAAGAGATCTTTCGAAAGCCAACTTTTCTTCGCATTTATTACATTCTTAGTCAATACTTCTGATAGACTCGAAACCAACTTACAAATTTAACAATACTGACCTTAAAGTATAAAATAATATAATATAATTATATACTAATAATATACTAATGTAATAAAACTCAACTCTCTGCTATTATATCACCTAAGGTGACCTGATCGGACTAAGTTCTTGATCAAGTATTCGGCTAGACTCGAAGCCGGGGCATGATAATAATAATACATTAAAATGTATGGTAGTATATCTGTATATATCAATATTATGCTACAATTATGTATATCAATGAAGAGAGAGAGAGATAATATATGAAATAATAATATACCATCCTAAACAACGCAAGGCTGCATAATTTGGTATGAAAGAGGAAAGTATCGGTTGCCTACAAGGGAATCGCTCCAAGAGGCTGAGTAGAGTCCTTGGAGTGGGCACACCAGATTGGCTATCCAGCCGATCTCTTTGTTGAGATGCCTTCTGTCTGGGCATAAGATTCCGGATGGAGGCTGAATAGTCGCCGGACAGTGGGCGTCGTCTATCGGGAGGTCGACTAAGAAGACGCGGCTGCAAGCAGCGTCGGGGCAGGTGAAGAAGCACTGGCCTCCGGTAGGCGAGCCGCAGTGGCCTAGGCTCGAAGACTGCGGCGATTGCAGGACATGTCGGCAGTGCGCCAGCACGTCGGCGGCCCTCAGGAGACCGACGATCCGGTGCAACGGTACCAGACGCAGCCAACTGGCCAAGCCGAGTCGGCCGGAACAGTCGAGGACGGGACATGCGGGCGCGCGGATCCGATCGGTCGGGCCGGTGACGGTGCAGACCTCGGCCAGACTAGCCAGTGCATGTAGTTGCCAGCAGCGGAGGCAGAGGAGATGGCGACACGGCATCGCCTGTAACCAGGCGCAGGCGGCCAAGGAGACCTTCGTGCCGGCAGTTTCCGCGCACGTCGGCACATCCTCGATCATCTCAAGGCAGCCGCCGCAGATCATCTGGAGATCCTCGTCGAGGGACTTGTGCTCGGCCGGCCAAAACGAGTTGACGGGCAACTCGGGCGCAGAAGACGTGAGGCCAGAGAAGTGCGAGTAGCTCACCAACTCCCAGTTGTCAGAGCACGAGTCCTCGGTCGGGTCGAGGCAGATGTCCGTCTCCAGGTCGGGGAAGAAAAGTGACCCGGCTGCGTCTGCCGGAAGGGTCTGCAGTGCTCCGGCCACCTCTTCTTCCGGCTGTCCGCTGGCCCGGTTGGGCATCGCCAGCGGGGTGTCAAAGGCCGAGTCGACTGGACACAATTTGTGCAGTCGAGCCACGGAACTCCAGCGCCATTCAACGCTGGACAGAGAAGAAAGCGGACGAAAGAAAGATGAAATACCGAGAGGGTGACTGTCACTCGAAGCCTCTCAAGGGAATTCATGTTTATTGCATACAACAGTTGAGTTTTCCCCCCAAAAAAAGAGATACGTAAGCCTCAATATGCCAGTGAATTTAACTTGGCCATGTTGCTTAAAAGGTTGTCTCATCGAGGATTCTGTACAGCGACTCTCTTCGTTCCATTTCAAGCCAATCGACAAGTAATCCTAAGGAGTAATGGATTTGAACTTGAATTTGTCATCGAATGGTCCCAACAATTAACACTAATTAAAGGAAGATTATGTAATCTATAGAAATTAATAATAATAATGTAAAGACTTTAATGGCAAATACTTGTGGCTGGTTATTAGCGTCAGAGGGAGAGAGGGGGGAACCAGAAGAAAGGCTTGGCTAGCTCCGGAGATAGCCACGAGTGATCTCCTGATATTGGTAATTGAAATGTGAAAAAAACAGAATTCTAATATGAAGTGTAACTGGGTTTCGATTCATCTCCTGAGATAACATTATTGTTGAGACTTTCATTTCGTGTGAAAGTGAATGAAAAAGGGATCTCATTAGAAGAGGATGGTTGAATCCTGTTGTACTGCAGCCGTTTAGCTTTTATACGACGTTGCGATTGACGCAGTCCACGAGGCATCCTCAGTAGCTTAGGGTGAAAACGAGCTGAGATTTCGTCAATCATATCATGGACATTATCAGAGCTGGGACTTATTCTTGTAAAATAATCAAAACAGTAATACTATCCGGCTCTATCTTACCTCTTATATGGTCTCATTTAAGCAAAAGGGAATTTAGAAACTTAGATTGATATGGAATGGTTTCGTTAATTATATTTATTCTGGTTAACTTCTTTTGGATGGAGTTTCAACACCTATCTATTAATCAAGCGTAAATATTTCCTACTTAACTTTCTATCACCATTCAACGTATTGCCTATTTTATTAATTTCAAGAGCCTCTCTTAGCTTTCCTTTAACCGCAAATCTATTAGTTTGAGACCATTTTATCTCATGTCCAGTTCTACCATGTGTTCAGCTACGTTGATGATAGTTGATTTAGGAACTTGTATTTTAATATCATAAGTACGAAAAAAATAAATATAGAGAACCTGCATTTCTTGGTTTAATATACATATTTCTTGCCAATTTGGTTTCCACAGCATAATAATTTAAGGAAATTATCCAGAATTTTTTGCCGTGTTTCCAAATTTCAAATAGTCCCCTATGTACAGAATCGATAGTTTAAGAATCATAAATACCCAACAGAATGATTTAGGAACTTCTTAAACTAGCATTTAAATTAAATAAATAAATATAAGGTCAAATTAGATTGGTATTTTTGGAATTAAATTACTGCTAAAATTATCGACAACTAAATTAGTTACTCCTAAATGTATTCCTGTGAGTCTTTTTCATTAAAATCTTGAGATCCAGTATTATTTTCAGAA